CAGTGCTGTGTGTGAGGTAATTTAAGGTGGTTCTGACAAGTGTCGTTGGCATCTTCATATCTGGCCACATGGGCGGCAAGCCACTCCCACAAAGGAGGCCACACCCACAGAGTAGGTTCGAACAATTTTTGAAGCCCACCACTGCTCTGGGGCCAGTCAGAGGTGGTATTTACCAGTTCTCTGAACTACTCAAAAATTCCGCTACCGGTTCTCCAGAACTGGAAAGAATCTGTTGAATACCACCTCTGATGCACAGGATAAAATAGAACAATTATTTGTGACCCCCCCCAAACCAATAACTGTGCCTTTGAGATGAATTTGAGATTTTGAAACTTTTGAAGAATACCATTAACAGTTTCTGATTTGTTCCTAATAGTAATATTTGGTCAATCAGGAAATGTTACCCATTATGAATACAACTTTGTAAAATTGCCCCTTTAGTAATGATTTTAATTAGTAACATTCAATCCCTAACTATTTCTTAAAAGAACTGACTACTCTTGCAATCCATCTAGTCTCTATTATCCTTACATTAAAGGATTAAATCAAACTTAAAATAAAAACAATTAAAACATAGAATATAAATCCATAGACTGATTCTTTAATGTAAATGCTAGAAACATTATTTGTTAGAGTCATCTTGGTACTTTATCAGATGATTAGTAAAACTAGTGCAAAATTGCATGGGATTATCTAATATGCTAAACCAAAATCAAACAAATTATGTTCCGGTTTAGGGCAATATATGAACTATATCTGGAATCAGTTATTTGCAAGCCCAAGAGGCAAAGTTAAGAGAACAAAGATCGGCTATAATACTAGGAAAAGAATTTTAAAAGCTTTAAAATATTTCCTTTCTTGTTACATGCTTTACAAATAACATAGGCTTCATGTGTCTTCTTTACTACATGTCTACTTACACATAATTACCTTTATTGGGAGTCTGGCCAAAAACCAGAGATGCTATTAGATTCCCCCAGACTCCAGAGGATCGGTATATCAAAAAGAAGATTCCAAAATACTGGGTAACTATATATTTTCCAATTTTGCCCACTTTCTGAGCGTATAAATTGCCGGCCATGGTAAGATAAGTGCACTTGGCTGACCAGAGCGGGGCTGCTCCCAGCCCTAAGATCATTGATGTGGGGATGAGTGTGAACCTGTCAAAAACACTTAATGTGGTTATTTTTATGAAACAAAACATAATCCCAAAATACTTAGCATTCCACTGAATTTCAGAGAAATTTGCTAATTGTACTCCCTCTGCAAAAACAAAAACAGAATGCAAGGGAGGCAAATAATGATTCACATGTTTTGTATCTTCACTCTAATGACAAATCCTTCCAGAGTTGCGTAAGAAGTCATGATACAAGTACAGAATTAAAGCATCACCAACAGAAGTTCAAATTGCATCTTTCCAATATTGGCACCATGGACTCAAGTGATGTCCACCCACTATTTGCCTAGTATAACAGGATTGGCTGTTTCTGGGTAGGGTTTCCAGAGTGAACCAGACATTAATAAAATCAAAATCAAAACTAGCCTGTGTAAAGAATTTTATATGCAATGACCCTGTGAGTGGCTCAGAAGCTGCAGCTGCATAGAATGAAACAATATGTTTGTTCAGATGGACTCCTTACCATTCATATTTAAAATGTATTTCCTAAATTTGTAGTCAGTTTATTTATTTATTTAATTTATTTAGTTTGTCAAACATGTAAAAAAACAACAGGTATAAGTATAAACATAAATATGAACAGTAAATGGGGACAGATTTGATCCAGAAATTAGAAAAAAAACCCAGGGGTGCTCAAACTTGACAGCTTTAAGACTTGCGGACTTCAACTCCCAGAATTCCTCCTCTTGCTCTTCATCTTGATGATGTCCAGATGGGAGGGGGGAGGGAGCTGGAACCGGTTCTAAAAGGCACTGTAGATTTGTGGAACCTCTTCTATAGAAGAGGTTACAACTGGCAGGAACCCACCACTGCCCCTTGCAGACCTCTTAGGAATGGGGTGAAGTCAATGGTAGATGTAATAAGTCTTAAGTTAAAATTATGGGGGTTTGGGGATATTTGGTGTAGTGTTAATAGTTTGGTGTAATGTTGAAGGCATCAGGCTTGAAAGTAGGAGATGGTGAGTAGCCTGCTTTAGGCACAAAGCCAGCTGGGTGACCTTTGGCCAGTCACTTCCTCTTAGTCCTAGCAAAGGAGGTAATGGCAAACCACTAACCAAAAAGTTTGCCAAGAAAACTGCAGTCAGTTGCTAGCAGTCAAAAACTGACTTGAAGGCACACAAACACACATGTTTTTAAGGCATCCCTCATTTCTGAGGGTTCAAGGCAGTTTACAGAATAGGTCTTTCTTTTTACCCCCATGGCAACAGTCCTTTGAAATAGGATGGGCTGAGAGAAAATTGTGAGCTATAATTCTGGAATGTCCATATCACATCTACTTGAGTCTGTCTAATATAATGAAACACAGGATATTCCAGAGGTGCTATGCCTAGTAAGGATAGATTGCTATGCATATAGTCTTTGACTTACGACCTCAAACTTCCACAAACTGTGATCAGAACTTCCATTGCTAAGCAAGGCAGTTGTTAATGAGTCATCCGCAATTTTATAAACTTTTCTTCGCTGTGGGTATTAAGTGAATCACCATGATCATTAAATGAATCAGGTAGTTATTAAGTGAAATCCATCTTCCTCTATTGCAGGGGTCAGCAATCCATGGCTCTGGAGCTGCATGTGGCTCTTTCATCCCTCTGTTGTGGCTCCCTGTTGCTGGTCGGCTCCACAATTGATAGGGCTTTCGGTTAGGAGAGGTAGAGGAAAGAGGACACTGTGCTAGGAGACTCTATGTTGGGGGAACCAGACTTCTGGTCAGCTCCAGAATTGAATGGGGGGGGGTTTCCGGTTAGGACATTTATGGTTCTTGGAGTGTTTAAGGTTGCCGACCCCTGCCCTATTGACCAAGGTGGCGCAGTGGTTAAATGCAGCACTGCAGGCTACTGCTAGATCAGCAGTTCAGCGATTCAAATCTCACCAGCTCAGGGTTGACTCAGCCTTCCATCCTTCCGAGGTGGGTAAAATGAGGACCCAGATTGTTGGGGGNCTCTCTCTCCCTCTCTCTCCCTCTCTCCACTTTCATCCTATCAAACAACTAACTATAAACCAACATTTAATATGGAACATTTTATCCAGAGCTGGGCCAAAAGGATTCATGCCAGCTCTATTTAGATAATTGCAATCATGGCAAAGCAAAAGGATGTGAGGACTTTTCCACAAGAGAAAGTGGGAAGGCTGCATTTCAGACGATTCCAGAGGTCAGAAAGAGATCAAAACATTGACTCATGCAACCCGTCCTTTACATGTCTTATTCACACAACTTTCAACAGACTTGTCACCATACATGTGTAGCATTTGCACCATGCAAAAAGAGAGAACAATGGTATCGTTCAATAGCTAGTGTCAGATTATAGTCTGGGAGACCGACAGCCAACTTTATTTTCCATTTTTGCAGATTCAGTCAGCTCAGTTCTCTGGTTGTCAAACTGAAACTGAAAGTTGCCACCTACCCAATCATATCTTGATTCATATGGCCCATGAATAGCTCATCTGTTCAAAAGAAAGCATCTTTCTCAATCCCTGCTAGATATGATTGATTGAATGTAGGAGGCACCTTCCTAGAAAAGCATGTCTTGTATTACTGTAGTAATCTATGGTATTAATATATTACTATTTTAATAATTAATTAATTAATCTCATTAATCTCCCATTAATAATCTCTCATATGGTTGACTCAGTGGTGGGTTCCAGATCCTGTTCCAACTGGTACGGTTGGAACAGGCCCGGCATTGTTCACATGGATGTGTGCAGTGCATGCATGCGTTGTACTGTCCAGCTACGCCTCCGTGAGCCTCCGCGAGACTTCAACTGCTCAGTGGAGGGTCACGCAGGTGCTGTATGCGCCGTGCGCGTGTGCAGAAGCTCCAAAGACTTTAAAGACTGGTAAGAAGCATAGGCAGGCAGGCAGGTGGGCCCTCCGGAGCACCATACCGGAACTATACCTGGTGCTCCAGGCAGGCTCCGGTACGCCCATACCAGGGTGTACCGCCTGCAACCCATCACTGGGTTGACTGATAGCACCCTTTTTATACTGTATGTACTTGTGGATAAGCTGAGATACTTCCTAAATTGAGTTAGGTTTATCTGGTTTATCTGCCAATATATGATTATGTATAGTAGATTTTCCCCTCAGCTTTTTAAAAGTACCTGTATATCCTGAATATACTTGTGAATAAGCTCATCCACAGATAAACTGACCTTCAATGTATTTCCAAAATACCATGGGAAATGTGCCACCTGTGGATATACCAATTGTGAAAATGTAAACATATGAAATTACAAAGGTCAGCTTATTTGTAAGTGGCCCATTTTTCATGGTATTTTGGATATAAATTTGAGAGTCAGCTTATTCACCAATGGGCTTACATGTGAATGTATATTGTACAACAATGCAACCAAAAAAAAAGCTGAATGCTATAATTATTTTCTTTAAATAGTCACAATTATCTTATATCTGCATCAAAAAGTAATTGAAATTATTCCACTCAACATTTTTCTTGATTATGATTGAAGTGGTATATATACCACCTTCGTCTATGGTTTTTAATGTACATTATGAGCTAATATCTTTCATATTTACCAAGTTTTCAAAAGTGTGTTTGAGTAGGTGTCTAATAAATAGACACCCACAAGTGTTTGGCCAGGGCCTCTGGACTCCCAAAATTTTGTTATCTCAGACTCCTTGATAAGACCTCCATGATAGCTGTGAAACTGACCAGAAGCAGCCTTAAAATGTCAACCTATGCAAACAGTTCTGGAGATAAGAGTTAAAAGAAACCTGATCCAGAAAATCAGCTATCTGGTCATGTTCTTATAGTACCTTGAAAAATACTTCCTTGTCATTCTCCAGTTTAGTTTCATCATCTCCAAAAAATACTGTCTTGTCTCCGCACAGATAATTCTCCATGTGAGAAGTTGATTCTCCAGTCCTAGCAGTCTTTCTGAAACATTTTAGTTTGATGGTACCTAATCAGGGTGAGGGCAGGATCCACTGAAGTACAGATATATCAGATTGTATTAATAGATAGCTAGGTAGACTCTCTGTGTGTGTGTGTGTTTGTGTGTGTGTGTGTTTGTGTGTGTGTGTGTGTGTGTGTGTGTGAGAGAGAGAGAGAGAGAGAGGGGAGAAGAGAAGAATATGCAGTTTATATCTTTGAACATATATATGTGATCTACTTTTCTCTCTCTTTCTCTTTCTCGTTCCTTTTAAATGGAAATATCATTCATAAGGCAATGATACATCACATGTTTATATGTAAGGATGCCAGCATGTGATATAACACTAGCCATTATCGCCAATTGAAAGCACTTTTCTCTCCCTTTCTGCCCTCTTTCATTTTTGCTCCATAAATAATAATAATAGCTTCTTACACCGAATAGTATTCTTCCTAGCCAGATTAAAGATGGTCAGAAGGTGACAGGTTCTAATTGCAGAATAATATACAAATATTGGTAAAGAAATATATTTTGCATAATAATAATAATAATAAGATTAAAGATGGTCAGAAGGTGACAGGTTCTAATTGCAGAATAATATNGCAGACCTGTGAATTATCTGCATATACTGGAATGAATAATGCACAACAGGATCTCACAGATCCAAATAAAGTTCACCTACCTGAAGATTTTGGAGTCCTCCATAAGCAGTAAAAAGAAATGTGAATCCAAATGACATCACAAGAATGTTTTTCAGATATGAATCCATAGCTGAGTCATAGAAGTTCCCAGTGGAGAAACCTGGCTTTCCTTCACCTTTAACACAAAGGAATCATGTTAGCTACATGAATACTGCCCACAAATGTTGCCTTCTTCAGCTTTGAAAATGCTACAGGTCTGGTAGCAATGGTAAGAAATAGTACCAATTAACTTGATTTGAAGTATTGATTGGGTTCCACGCAAGGCGTATAACATTTGTATGAGGTCTTCCCTTACACCCAATTTTGCAAATCATTTCTAGCCAGAAGGCAGCTTTCCAGATTGCTTTTTTGAAACAGATCCTCCTTCCTTGCCCACTCACACTGAAGAAGAAATATATTTTAAGAAACAGGTGGGTGGGATACAGTTTTAGCTTAGCATGGAAAGGTCACTTGGAAAGTTGCAACACTTACTATCCCCCCAAATACTGTCCCTCAAACTACTTTCTTCCAGATATGTTGGAGTCCAATTCCCATCACATCCAGCCAGGATATGAGTAATTGGACTCCAAGATATTAGATATCTCTGTGATACTCTTGTGCTTTAAGTGTAGACACTTAAAAAAGAGAATTTATGTGCAACAAGCCAAATTAAACCGATCTACCTAGAACAAGAAGTTGAGAGTTCAACAGATGTACTGTAGATAGAAACGAAGAAATCAAGGAGCAGAGTACAGATACAAAACAGCACTAAGGACACATAAATTTAATAACAAACAAACAAACACAATAAAATCATCCCAAACCATAAGAAAACTCTAGGCAGGTATGAAAAACTCGAGACAGAGGTCTTTCTGCCTCCAGGAATAGAAGATTATTTTTTGAATCATGGTTTGCAAACAATTGTTTATATAAATTGGGTTATATTTTTTTGTTGCCTTAGCGTGCCTGAGTTGTCAGTGGATCCAGAACACAACTCACTTATCCATTTTCCTTTGCAGGGGCTGAATTTTCCAACTTCTTGTAAGTGAATCTTTCCAAAGGAATGTGCTGCCTCTTTACTGTAAGAATTTGTCAAGGCTGAAAAGTTTTTTTTTTAAATTGTACCAAGCTCTGAGCGTACCTCAAAGGCCTGTGGTATGTCAGCCTTGACACTCTTTTAGTTTTTTCTGTCAGGGCACTTAAGATTAAGCTGACTCCAAAAGAGCCCAGACAGCCTTTGCATTTCTGCCTCAGCTCTTATACATGCAGGGAATTTAAAGAATGCCCCCCTTGAATACCTTCCTCACTATAGCAATGCAGGCCTGCCACAATAATTTGTTATAGAATGGACACTTCTAGCAAACCAAGGAACACCTTTATGTAGCTTTAAAAAGGAAAAAGAAAGAGCTCCATTTTTCCTTGAAGTTCAATTTTCCTTTTTTTCTAAACTTATTTCAGTTTGCTTACTAATGGGCTTCTTTGCATTTTTGTTTATATGGTCATACAACTTTAACAAGCGTAAGAATTCAATATTTGGGGTGTATTATCAGCCACCCTAAAGGATGGTTTTCATTCACCTTAATTGCCTTATATGGGAAAGTTTATGAAACTTTTCCTCAATACCATGATCAAACTCCTCCACTGCACTTAGCAGATTGTTTGAGTTTGCATAGCATGCTAAACCATCATGGTTTACATTCATAGTGGCTGCATTCTTCTGTATCTTTTCTTTTATGTAGACTGAGAGCATATGTACCAAAGACAAATTCCTTGTGTGTCCAATCACACTTGGCCAATAAAGAATTCTATTCTATTCTATTCTATTCTATTCTATTCTATTCTATTCTATTCTATTCTATTCTTTGTACCAAGGAAAAAATAAATCATCTGCACCATGACTTAATACAATGTATGAACTCAGTCTGATATGTTAGCAGCATTTGCAAAATATTGATATTGTGAATATCATATCATTGATTAGTAATATTATAGAATGTTGAATATGTTATTTGCTCAATATTATGTTGCTAACAATGTATTTTAATTGTAGTTTTAACATTTAGGCTTTTTGTGATAGTTTTTTATTGTATATGCTACCCAGAATCAGTCAATCTTTTATTATGATTATAGACAAGACTTAAAAATTAAAGCGTTAAAATAAACTAAAACAAAACAGGACATAATGTTATATTAGAACAAATGGTGATTTCAATGGCTGCCACATTCTGTCTGATTTTACAGACAGAATAGCTGAATTTAAGGAAACATTCAAGGAAACTGTATCACATTACTCTGATAGTAACAGTTGTACATAAAAGAGGCCAGAATTTCCCAGATATTTTACAAAGTAAGGAGTTATAAAATGAGTCCATAAACAGAAGGATGACTCAGAGTCACTTTATGTTGAGATGGTGGGTATATAAATGCTAAACAAATAATAAATAATTAAATACAGGTTGTCCTCAATTTACAACCATTCATTTAGTGACCATTCAAAGTTACAACAGCACTGGGAAAACATAATTTGTGACTGGTTCTTACATCAGTGCAGCATCCCCATGGTCATATGATCAAATCTTGATGCGTGGCAACTGGCATGCATTTATGAAGGTTGCACTGTCCAGGATCACATGATTTGCCATCTTCCCAACAACCTTCTGACAAGCAAAGTCAGTGGGAGAAGCCAGACTTGCTTAACAGCCGAATGATTCACTTAAGAACTGCAGTGATTTGCTGTGGTAATAAAGTTCGTAAAAATGCGACATGACTCATTGAAGAGCTGCTTTGCTTACTAACAGAAATGTTTGGCTCAGTTGTAACTGGAAGTCGAGGACCACCTGTAAAACAGAGCAGTGTACCAATGCAAAAAATTGTATCTGACTCTGTGATATCAGGAGATGAATGATGGCTTCTTCTTTTTTTAATGTTTTATTGATTTTATTTATATTCAATCCAATTTTCATTTGGTCTGGGTACAGCAATGTTTCATCAGGCATAGTATTCATTCTTGCTATAACATTCATCACCATAATAGTAATAGTGCAATAACATAGTCACAATGACACGTAACATCCTCTGCGTTAACAATTCTTCTCTTTAAGATTTCCTCTTTTAATATCTCTTCCTTTCTAACTTCTGTCAGGAGGTGAATGATGGCTTCTGAAGGAAAAACCATCTGCTCCCTACTCCCCCCCCCCCTCATGCTTTTTGTATGAACTGCAGGCTTAGTATCTCAGGTAACATTGAAGAGTATGAACATTTTCTTTTGGGCCTGCACATTCATGCTTCTGCACTACACCACAGAAAAGGAAATTGAAAGCTCAATTCATATGCTATGTTTATTTTTTTAAAAAATATAAAGGCACTGAATAACATCAGATGTTGCATTTAGAGTGGAATTCAACCCGGACAGAATCCTTCTGTAAAAAGGCTCCCAGTTCCATTCTTCCAGAGCCGATCATATCTATTTTATTCACAGAAGGATCATTTCTTGTTCTTTTGACCCCTTGTGACATTTCCCCAAAAGATCTAACTCAGAAGCATTTGGGAGCCATCCAAATCAAGCCCTGCAGGTGGCATTGTTTTTGATCTAAGGCAGAGGCCCATGTGATAAGAAAGGGGATCATTTCCAAGTTTCTCAATCACCTCGAGAAAAGACTGGCATTCCAGGACAACTCATGTCCCTGGAGCTCATGTGGAAAAAGGAGAAATTGANCCAGAGTTCCTCAGCCAGCAAAGCAAAGCTGGCTGAGGAACTCTGGGAGTTGAAGTCCACAGGTCTTAAAGTTGCCAAGGTTGGAGACCACTGGTCTAGAGCAACAGCTTCAGTTTTACACATGGAAATTGTGGCATAAATCCTACCCATATGGCTATCCCTCAAACCCAAAACTAGTAAGACTATTTGAGATCTGCTTCTCCCAGGGTCTTACTTTAAGTACATCCGAAAATGATCTTGATGTGGGTGAAGAAATGATCAAAACTAAGTGAGGCAGAAGAAATACACCAAAGATATTCACCACAAATCTGATCTTTTCTTTCTTTTCCCCTGTTTTTCCAAGGGCATTGAACTGTTGCTGTGCTTTCATTCCCTATTTCCATTGACCAATAAAAGTTCTATCCAGATTGAAACTGGTATCAATTTGAGGCCTGGCCTGATCTCAAATATTTAAAAGCTTTTTCTTACCTTCACTTCATTTTAGGGAGCCGAAGGCCCCAATTTCATTCTTTAAAAACTCACATATAAAGTTGGGTTTTGGCTCTGTTCATTTGAAGATCTTGGCATGTTATAAAAAACTCAATTCTTACCTTCTAGTCAATAAAAGTTGCACACCTCTTCTATAGATATTCCTCCATTTCCCTTTCTAGCTGTTGTCTGCTGATTCCTCAAGTACCAGTAATGTTTTTAGCCTCAAAGCATTGAGTTTGGTGCTATCATTAAAAACATTTACTTGTCCCCTATCAAATCCTAAAGTGACTTTCAATCTTATGTTTTGTGAAGTCCAAGCCATCTAATGAACAAACATCCACTTATTTACTATACTTTTCTCCATTTAGTTAGATTCAATTAGATCTTTCATGGTGGTATCCCACTACAGATATGTCAGCCAGAAATTATATCTGTCCCCCCAAATGTGTAGGAATGGAGCAGGCAGGTGGAGGGGGTGGTGGAGTTAAGTATGTCATAAGTTTGGAGTCCTTGCATTCCCACAAGCATTCCAAGTTCAACCCCTCCTGAATTCTGTTGATCTTTATCTGTTGACAATTTATTGTTGAACTTTAGTTGACCACATACTTTATCAGGTTGAATAAATATTTCATGCTGCAACTTTACGAATGGGCCTGATTTTTTGTGTCTGACAAAATGCATTGCAAATGTCATAGGAATTAGGAAATACTAATTACCAGCTGGCATAGAAGTTTCCCAAAGAGAATGTAATGTAGCAACACATTGAGCCTACAATGGTCCATTTGCATCCAAATTTCTTAATGATGACTGATGGGAGAAACATGGAGGACAGGATGAGAGTACCATAGATCATACTCAGGGAGGCAACTCCCAGGCCTTCTTCAGAGTGGAGGCTGCTCTGTACAGACAAAATGCAATGGAGGCACATATTTATAGCAAACACAATAACACATGGGTGACAGTGATGAATAGAAAAAGAGGAAGAGACAGTTAAGCCAGAGAAGTGTTGTAATGAAACTATGATATCAAACACATATGACAAATGCATTGTCATTACAAAATGCTGTCTGTGCTTACTGTGTCCTGATTTCTGAGGAAATCAGAGCATTTGGGTAATGATATCATCACACACATTTCATCAAGCCTCCCTACCCTCATGGGTGCCCACAAATTAAGCTCCTCTTTTGGGACACTCAGACTCATCAGTCTTTATTGCACAGAGCAATGAAAATGCAGTGTGACTCTTGCTTTAGAAAAGAACCAGTTTGACCAAGCCATCAATTGCCATCAATTAAAGGACTAATGATTATCCAAAGCTACTTCAGCCAGAGAACGTTAGTTGGTACATTTTGCAGATGGAGCAAACAGTTAAGAGGCTGCATGGCCCACAGCTACATAATGGATAGAGAAAGTGACTTTGTTGTAGTTTCTTTCAGAGGCTGTAAAGGAGATGGCAGGAGTTTTGTACTTTCATAATTGCAAGGATTTGAATCTTTGAAAGTAATCTTACACTAAGGAAGTATTAGTACATCTGACCCTGTTTCCTGTCTAGTCTGCCTGGGATGATTGACAGTTGACGTAGTCACGGAGGGATAGCAGGCAGTTGGATGTGAATATTGTTGAAAGGAGAGAGATGCTGAGGATTTTCCTCATACAAGAAAAAATATTTGGTCACATCACCAGGATCACTGCCCTTATCTTGAGGCACTTATGATTTATTTCAATTTGGGGGTTAAAACTTTCCTCCATTATGCAATCTCACCTCATTCATTTGAAAACAAAGAAAATCAGATTTTCTTAAGGCAGCATAAAGAATATGAACATTACAGAGAATAGTTTTAATAGCAATTAAAAGGCACAATAAAATAAATAAAGCATCCACTATAGTGCATTAAATACACTATGCAATATGTGTTTAATATAATACATGAATATATATAACGCATGCATGCATGCATGTGTACATATAAATGTACACGATCAGAAAAAAATGAAAGCAGAGAAATGTGAAAAGCAAATGAGGGAGGGAGGGAGAGTGAGTGTACAATTCATTACACAGGTCTGCAAAAAAAAAAATCGAGAGCTGTTTTGGTTATTCCATGTAATCTTTATGTTTTTTGGTGTGCTGAATCAGAAAATGACCTCCATTTTGTCATAGGACATCATGTGTCCTGACAATTTTAGGTAACTGTGTTAAATAAGGCAATACCTCAAAATAAATGGAAATA